AGTTTTTGAGATATTAACTATTAAATAAAACTATGATAAATTCTCTATAATCAAAAGTAATATGTTTTAACGAAAATCCAAGAACTTAAGAAAACTGACATAATTATTTACGATATGTATAATATAATACACATGATTCAGACATTTTGTGATGAATTTATCAACGCAACTAAAGTGTCCATATTCAATGTTAAGCTATTGCCAGGCCAATGCCAGATAATACGTTTCTCGAATGCCTCTTTAAAATCAGCTTCGGCTTCGGGCGGTCTATTATGTTGATTGTTTCGGATTTCGTATTCCGCTGTTTTGGTAATCGAATTATAGACATAAAATTCATCTGTTTTTTTGCTAATATGACGTGACCAAGGCTGAGTGATGCTTTTTAAGAAAAGTACGCTGTTATATGCGAAATATATGGGTTCTTTATCGTTTTTGTCGTCACGTTCCAAGAGACTCTCTCGCGACTCGAACGCAATGGGCATTTCCACACGACGTTGCGCGACACGCAAATTCTTCCCTATATCAGGATTCAGCATAAACCTCTCCTTGGCGCGCACACATATGTAGTCATTTGGAACTGATTTCTGCAGTGATTCGCAAAATAGCTTAGTTAGTTTATACCTACGACAGATATAGCATAAAAATGTTGGCTATTAGTACAATGACACAATTTATTCATAATAGAATTCCTCTTTATAGTAACTACATTCTATAAAACTTTTGTATTTATCTCTTTAAGTTTTTAAATTGATATCATTATTAAATCGATATAAATATATCTACTCCAATTTAATTTATAAAGACTATAAACTTTGCAACATTGATAGACTTATACATAAGAATATACTACAGAGAAACACATCTTAATTTGGTTTGTATTCAATTTTTGAGCAACATGTTAAATTAACAGTTTAGAGCATGTTATTGACAATTCAGAATTTTATATTATGTTTGATAAAACATAATATAACATATTTGTTACCTATCATCTAAGTATCGTTTGCTAACATCTACTCCACCAAGCATGTAAGCATCCAAAATATGCAATGCACGTGTCTTGGAGAAGTATTTTCCCGTCCATTTTGTTTCATACACTAATTCGGCGTATACAAGAGTATCAGGTGATAGGTATATCTTTATATCTTCAATCGGTTCCCATTCGCCTCCTTTCATGTAACGAAATACTTTTCTCCTTCCCAAACTCAAATAAAATGTTGCTACTTTATCCTCTTCGACACACGGACCGGAACCACAGGGCATGCAGTACCAATTGTATGGTTGATTCAATATACTTTTTACATTGTCGTTTTCCAATTTCTGTGCTTCGAGTGCGAAAAAATATTCAAAGCCATTTAAAATTTTCTGTATCTTATTTTGTAGTCTTACGATCTGCGGCCTCACGCGAGTTTTATCAGTATATTCCAATAATTTAGGCATTTCTTTTGTATATCCGCTTGTTTTGGCTTGGTCAGCATCGGATCCTCGCAAAACGCCGCTGTAAAACACGTTCCAAGAGACTCTCTCGCGACTCGAACGCAATGGGCATTTCCACACGACGTTGCGCGACACGCAAATTCTTCCCTATATCAGGATTCAGCATAAACCTCTCCTTGGCGCGCACACATATGTAGTCATTTGGAACTGATTTCTGCAGTGATTCGCAAAATAGCTTAGTTAGTTTATACCTACGACAGATATAGCATAAAAATGTTAGCTATTAGTACAATGACACAATTTATTCATAATAGAATTCCTCTTTATAGTAACTACATTCTATAAAACTTTTGTATTTATCTCTTTAAGTTTTTAAATTGATATCATTATTAAATCGATATAAATATATCTACTCCAATTTAATTTATAAAGACTATAAACTTTGCAACATTGATAGACTTATACATAAGAATATACTACAGAGAAACACATCTTAATTTGGTTTGTATTCAATTTTTGAGCAACATGTTAAATTAACAGTTTAGAGCATGTTATTGACAATTCAGAATTTTATATTATGTTTGATAAAACATAATATAACATATTTGTTACCTATCATCTAAGTATCGTTTGCTAACATCTACTCCACCAAGCATGTAAGCATCCAAAATATGCAATGCACGTGTCTTGGAGAAGTATTTTCCCGTCCGTTTTGCTTCATATACTAATTCGGCGTATACAAGAGTATCAGGTGGAAGTTCTATCTTTACATCTCCAATCGTTTCCCATTTGCCTCCTTTCATGTAACGAAACACTTTTCTCCTTCCCAAACCCAAATAAAATGTTGCTACTTTATCCTCTTCGACACAGGAACCGGAACCACAGGGCATGCAGTACCAATTGTGTGGTTGATTCAATATACTTTTTACATTGTCGTTTTCCAATTTCTGTGCTTCGAGTGCGAAAAAATATTCAAAGCCATTTAAAATTTCCTGTATCTTATTTTGTAGTCTTACGATCTGCGGCCTCACGCGAGTTTTATCAGTATATTCCAATAATTTAGGCATTTCTTTTGTATATCCGCTTGTTTTGGCTTGGTCAGCATCGGATCCTCGCAAAACGCCGCTGTAAAATATCCTTTATTTATTGAATAGTTCAGATTTTCTGTAAGGAAAAGGCTTTAGCCCGGATCTACAATAGGTGTGGTAGCCTCAAACCATAAAAAGTTAATCAATCACAGTCAAATGTGAGGAGAATAATCAATTATTATTGGTAATTTTTTTACGGATTAAGGCTTACTACATCTATTATAGATCCGACCTTACGCTATTCCGCTGCATGGGTTTGTACCCTCAAACCGGATCTAATAATAAAAAAAAATAATAATAAAGTGACTTTATCCGTAAGAGAGAATATCACCATTTATAATTATATACATAATGTTATTTTTTTCTAAAACATTTAAGTTAATATAGAATCTTTTATTCGGACAAAAATCCAAACGAATCGACATTTTAGCAACAACTTTAACAACTACTAGATGCTTATTTAAAGTATTAAATTCGCGTTTGGAAACTTTTAACGAATCGACGTTTGATTGACAAACTTCACAAAAAGACTCTTTTTAATAAACAAAACTTACTTATCGATATCACAATTCGGTTCTGTTGGAACTGCAACAGTAGAGACCGGTGCTTGGGAGATCTCAGCCTCTGGCTCCATCTCCGAAACGACCACAGGTGATGTAGGAGAGTCGTTTTTATTCTTTGATGATACTGTAGACGAATTAAATGCTTCCTGATGTTGATTGTTCCTTTCTTTTGCAATGAAAGCAAGTCAGCACATTGTCCTTGCAATCCTTATTGTTGTGTCCCTTTTTTCCACAGTTTTTGCAATTATTTCCTTTCATTTTATCTGACTTGTAAGATTCTGTTGATTTTTTCTCAAATAAACCTACTGTCATGGAAACTTTGGACATATGATTTACAAATTGCTCAACCGTAAGCGAAGGCAATACCATTGCCATAGACTTTAACGATATGTTAGTGATGCCATCTATTAACAAATTGACTGTATTTTGCGGAGACAAACCCAGAGCATATATTAATGCTTGTTTATCGATTGCATATTTCCGGAACGATTCCTTATAAGGCATCCACTTCCTGGCTTCTACCTTCTGCATGGCTATACAGAAGGGTATCTTCTGTTCAAATGTTTTTAGTAGCGCTTGGCGACAGGCTGCCCAAGAGACTAACACTGGGTCTGATTGCATATCGAACCATTTCTTAGCACTCTTAGTCAATTTGCTAGTAGCGACAAGCAAGATTATGTCATCAGTCACTTTGTGGGCTTGAGCGACTATCTCCACTCGTTTGATCCATTGTTGCACATTTTCATCTGTCTCTCCTCCAAATTCAGGTATCTGCGATGCTAAGAGAGAGACTGCGTTACTTGGTGTAAATGTACTGATGGTAGAATGCCTTAACGAGTCATCTATTCCATGTACGGAAAGTGAAGCATGTGCTGGCGAAGAAGGATTTCGCCCTTTTGGAAGTACTGGAATGTGACTGATTGCTTGTGTGATAGAATCAGAAACCTGTTGCATAAATTGTTGTTGCTGCATTGTCATCTGAGTCATCTGAGCCATCATTTGTTCAAACATGTTCATCATGGTAGATTCCATTGTTTTTAGGGAAGCGGACTCTTCCCTGTTAGACGGTTCATGTACACGATTAGCCCTTAATTCCCGATTATCATTACTCCATAAATCTAAATCTGCCAATCGTCTATTCTCCTCTAAATGTGTCATGATTGTATCGATCAATACATCCTTTGAATCTGACATAGGCAGATCATACAACCTTGCTTCTTCTTGAAGTTCTTCGTACGTTAATACCTCAAGATGTCTACGATTCATTTTTAACAACAATAATATTTCACTAGAAAAATCAGACTAAAAATTTTCATTATTTTTTCAAAAAATGCTGGACTTGAAGGCTTGGACTCTATGCTCGGTTTGCACCCTCAGATATCCTTTATTGGATAGTTCAGATTTTCCGTAAGAAAAGAACACTGGAAGTGGCGAACAGTTATATGGATATATAACAGTCAGTCTTTATACAAACTCTTAAAATATATTCACAATCTTTTGACTTGTACAAGCGATGTACAGTTATTGCGTCAGTCAAATTTTCGCCGAAACAAAAGCCGCGTTCAGCAGAGAAAACCGCTCAGTAGCAATCGAACGATTGGCTCTTACTTTTAGAATCAACAAATCAACGTCGAATGTTGACAAAACGATAATTGAGCGCGAAAAAAAGAGAACAAAGGACACACCGAAAAGGAATGTAGTGGACATGGCCTTTGTCTCACATGCCATGTGTATTGCGGTAATATGCTACCGTGAACTTGAGCGTTGCTTGCTCTCGCAGAATCCATTGCAGAGCCAAGTGGTCATTAATCCACACTAACAATCAACAGACCTTGACCCTGAGCACTAAAAGCTCGTCTAACTGGTCTCTTTTACTGGGCACATGCAGGAACAACGAACTATTCTTTTGCTCGCTTTCCCGCCAACGAAGAAATGCTCAATCTCAATCATGTCTTCTGATTGAGAAGCCCGGTTTTTTATTCTCCTTGTATTTTAGGCTTAACCTAAGGTTTAAAATAAAAATTGCGTTTTTCAATACATGGTTGATCATTAAATTTAGTTAGCCACATATTAGCCAAAAGTTAATCAGAATTATATCTATTTGATTTTATTATTGAATAGATTCATAAAGATCCACTGATGGGTGCTTTCCATTTAGTGACTCAAGTCGACACAAGTATCATTCTATCTTCTTTCAATACCAGTGAACAACAAAGATAGATCGTAATTAGTAAACACAAATTAGAATTTGGTCATGACTTCGATTGGTCAACGCCTGATATTCTGCATACTGAAAAACATGTAAGAAAGAGAGAAATAGCTGAAATGTTTTTTATTAAAAAATATGACAACACTACAATACCAGTGAACAACAAAGATAGAATGATGCTTGTGTCGACTTGAGTCACTAAATGGAAAGCACTCGATGTAAAGTTAGAAATAATGCATGGCCAACTTCTTATAATGCCAACAAATATTTAAATTCATCTAAAGTTTGGGAAGATTGTAAAGTATATCTTTTATTAGCACAACTTATGTTATCAAGGATTAGTAGTTGTTGAAAACATATACAATAGTATATATATAGTTGCTACAATAGTATTATAATAGTTCAAAATATGTAACTGCCAAAAATAATTAAGTTGAAATAATTTGCATGTTAGTGTATCTTCCATTGTACTTTTAAAGGTATAGAGTAGAATCATTTTTATTTTGAACTTAAAGAACAAGAGCTTCGAGATAATTACATTTAATGTGATACAAGACTAAAAAAAGACAGTTTATTGCTGGCGTTTATAAAAATTTATACATTATATCGAAAAAACAACTGTATACACAGAATGGAATAAGCCATTATGTCTTTGAATTATGAGAATATGTTAAATAAATTATTTTTTTTTAAATATATGCCTTACAAGAAGAAATTATCTGCCTCTTAAATAATTTAAAGACGAACTATATTCTTTTATAATAATAAATTATACATATACCTTTAGACAAACTTTTTGTAGATATATGTAACAAATTAGCTCTATATATATCATTACTGCTATGTTAGATATGTTATATAAATGCATAATAATAATCATGAACATTTTAGTAATAAAAACGTGATAACATTAGAGTCGCATTTCAAACTATGTGCTGTATATACAAGCACATATTTGTAAGAAAATGTGTAGTTATTTATATTTGTTTTTACAAACTCGAGATATATATAAAAACTTTTTTTTGTTTACATATTTTGAAATGTGGTCACACTTCTACTATAAAGAAGATAAATTTAAAAACTGAGTGTGAAAAAGAAATGTGTGAATGTATGTGCAGAGTGATATTTATACACATAATGTAAATATAAATATATATATAAACATATTAAAAAATAATTGTATGTAATGTATTGAGATTGTTTATAATAAATTAACATGTTATAATTTATGTATGATCACATTTGTTTTTTTGAGTAATTATAATATTGGTAATTGAAAATCTTTATTTTTTTTCAACAGCATATTTTTATTGAATGCAAATATAACAATATAATATTTTTTAATATATTTTCTTATTTTAATACAATTTTTGAGATACTAACTATTAAATGAAACTATGATAAATTCTCTATAATCAAAAGTAATATGTTTTAACGAAAATCAAGAACAAGAACTTAAAAAAACGTTATGACATAATTATTTACGATATGTATAATATAATACACATGATTCAGACATTTTGTGATGAATTTATCATCGCAACTAAAGTGTCCATATTCAATGCTAAGCTTTGATTGCCAGGCCAATCCCAGATAATACGTTTCTCGAATGCCTCTTTAAAATCAGCTTCGGCTTCGGGTGGTCTATTATGTTGATTGTTTCGGATTTTGTATTCCGCTACTTTGGTAATCGGATTATAAACATAACATTTATATTTTTTACTAATATGACGCGCCCAAGGTTGAGCGACGCTTTTTAAGAAAAGTACGCTGTTGTATGCGGAATATATGGGCTCATCATCATTTTCGCCGTCACGTTCCAATAGATTCTTTTGCGATTCGAACGCAATGGGCATTTTCACACGACGTTGCGCAACACGCAAGTTCTTCCCTATATCGAGATTCAGCATGAATCTCTCCTTGGCGCGCACACATACAAAGTCATTTGGAACTGGTTTCTGCAGTGATTCGCAAAATAGCTTAGTTAGTTTATACCTACGACAGATATAGCATAAAAATGTTAGCTATTAGTACAATGACAATTTATTCATAATAGAATTTCTCTTTATAGTAACTACATTTTATAAAACTTTAGTATTTATCTTTTTAAGTTTAAATCAATATAAATATCTACTCCAATTTAATTTATAAAGACTATAGACTGTGCAATATTGATAGATTCATACATAAAAATATGCTACAGAGAAACTATAACATATTATAATTTTAATTTGATTTATATTCAATTTATAAGTAACTATTAATATATTAACAGCTTAGAACATATTACGGACAGCTTAGAATTTTATATTATGTTTGATAAAATAAAAGAAATTTCTTACCTATCATCTAAGTGTCGTTTACTAATATCTTCTCCACCAAGCATATAAGCATCCAAAATATGCAATGCACATGTCTTGGAAAAGTATTTTCCCGTCCGTTTTGTTTCATATACTAATTCGGCGTATACAAGAGTATCAGGTGGTAGTTCTATCTTTACATCTCCAATCGATTCCCATTTGCCTCTTTTCGTAAAACGAAACACTTTTGTTCTTCCCAAACCCAAATAAAACGTTGCTACTTTATCCTCTTCGACACAGGGACCGGAACCACAGGGCATGCAGTACCAATTATATGGTTGATTCAATATACTTTTTACATTGTCGTTTTCCAATTTCTGTGCTTCGAAACCGAAGAAACATTCAGAGCCCCTTAAAATTTCCCATATCTTATCTTGTGGTCTAATGATTTGCGGTCTCACGCGAGTTTTATCAGGTATATTCCAATAATTCAGGCATTCCTTTCGCATATCCGCTTGTTTTGGCTCGGTCAGCATTGGATCCTTGCAAAAAGCCTCGATTTTCGAGAGGCCTATTACTTGTTTCTTGCCTAGAGCGTCATTAGAGCTTCTCAAATACGATACAAATGCCTTGTCCGCTTCTAATACATCGAGCGGTACTAATTGAATTACATCATTCTTATCATCTTTCTTTAAAAGTGAATGATTAACATGAGAGAGATGGTGAACTACCGCTTGTGTATCGTCTTTTTTTGTTTTACATATTAAATAACGTTCCGAATTAGCTGGTCTAGAAGTATTGGGTTTGAAGATGCAAATATTTTCGAAACATCTATACATTAGATAAACAAGTCCAATGCTGAAAGGTGTGAACAAATCAAACAATGCTGTCACAAAGTGTCCACCTGGTCTCACTATCATTAATGCCACCAGACACTGACACAGATATAACTGCTTAGATAGAATCTCTTGGATGTTTTTTTGACCTTCCACAGAGAATCCTCCATCTGACATCATAAAATGCACACCTTTGCCATATGTATGTTTCATTATTAAAGATCTAAATTCTTCTTGATTTTGTGGGTCAAATACATCTCCATTGCCTTTAGAACCATAAAAAGGATGAAAAGTTTCACACGGACCAGCAAAAAACTCATCCAATGTGAAGTCATCTTCGTTTTTCAAAGTGAATCCGAATCCTTTGGCATGCCATTTCTTTCTGGACAGAATATACTCACTGAAACCGCCCGGACCGGCACATACGTCGGCGAAGTACAATAATTTATTGGGATGTAAATCCTTTGGGTCAGTAAACATGAAATTACATGCTCTGTTGATATTCGCCATTTTGACAGCTGCACGATTCAGAAAATTAGCAGTGCGAATTGTTTCATAAGGGTTTGAACGAGTTCTTGCTTTGCGCATCTCAACCTTATCTAATTTATCAAATACAGTTTTTGACCTGATAATTTGCTCCAAAATCTCTGGATTGCAATACATGGTTTCGTCGTCTATGGTGAGTTTTTTCGGTCCTGTTTTTATCCAATCCACCATGTTCTCAGCTAGGAGCGTATCAGAATGCATATTTGGTAACCATTCCATATCTTCTATAGCTTTTATTTCTTCTTCTTCAGGATTCCATTTGAGACTTGCTTCTGTCAGACCTGGTACATAATGCCCAAATCCTCTTCGCTCTTGTTGCATAATTGCTTCTATTGCTTTTGCGATAGAATCAGAAACCTGTTGCATAAATTGTTGTTGCTGCATTGTCATCTGAGTCATCTGAGCTTTTATTTGTTCAAACATGTTCATCATGGTAGACTCCATTGTTCTTAGGGAAGCGGACTCTTTTCTGTTAGCTGGTTCATCTACATGATTAGCCCTTGATTCTCGATTATCATTACCTGGGCATAAATCTAAATCTGCCAATGGTCTATTCCCCTGTAAATGCGTCATGATCGTATCGATGATTACATCCCTTGAATCTAGGTAGAATATAGGCACATGATATATTCTTGCTTGCTCTATAAGTTGTTCGTGTGTTAATACCTCAAGATGTCTACGATCCACCTTTAACAACAATATTTCACTAGAAAAGCCAGACTAAAAACTTTTAGTATTTCTTTAAAGGCTGGACTTGAAGGCTTGGACTCTATGCTCGGTTTGCACCCTCAGATATCCTTTATTGGATAGTTCAGATTTTCCGTAAGAAAAAAACACTGGAAGTGGCGAACGGTTATATGGATATATAACAATCAGTCTTTATACAAACTCTTAAAATATATTCACAATCTTTTGACTTGTACAAGCGATGTACAGTTACTGACTGGCCTTTTTTACTGGTCACACGCAGGAACAACGAACTATTCTCTTGCTCGCTTTCCCGCCAACGAAGAAATGCTCAATCTCAATCATGTCTTCTGAGGCCCGTTTTTTTATTCTTCGATTAATTTTTATTCTCCTTGTATTTTAGGCTTAACATAAGGTTTAAAATAAAAATTGCCTTTTTCAATATATGATTGATCACTAAACTTAGTTAGCCACATATTAGTCAAAAGTTAATCAGAATTATATCTAACATTTGATTTTATTATTGAATAGATTCGTAAAGATTCACTGATGTAAAGTTAGAAATAATGCATGGTCACCTTATGTCAACGAATATTTAAATTCATCTAAAATTTGGGAAGATTATAAAGTATATCTATTTTTTATTAACACAACTTTTGTTATCAAGGATTACTAGTTGTTGAAAACATACTGTTGCTACAAATAGTATATTGCAATAAGTTCAAAATATGTAACTGCCAAAAATAATTAAGTTGAAATAATTTGCATGTTAATGTATCTTCCATTGTACTTTCAAAGATACAGAGAGCAGAATCATTTTTATTTTGAACTTAAAGAACAAGAGCTTCGAGATAATTATATTTAATACAAGACTAAAAAAGACAGTTTATTGTTGGCGTTTATAAAAATATATACATTACATCGGAAAAAGAAATGTATACACAGAATGAAATATAAGCTATTATTATGTCTTTGAATTATGAGAATATGTTAAACAAAGTATTTTCTTTAAAATATGCCTTACAAGAAGAAATTATCTGTCTCTAAATAATTTAAAGATGAACTTTATTTTCTTTTATAATAATAAATTATATATCTTTAGACAAACTTTTTGTAGACATATGTAACAAATTAGCTCTATATATATCATTACTACTATATTAGATACGTTATACAAAGGCATAATAATAATCATGAGTAATACTTGAGTGATAGAAACGTGATAACATTAAAGTTTTATTTCAAACTGTGTATACACAAGCACATATTTATAAGAAAATGTGTAGTTATTTATATTTGTTTTTACAAACTCGAGATATATATATATATAAAAACTATTTTTTTATATATTTTGAAATGTAGTCATACTTCTACTATAAACAGGATAAATTTGAAAACTGAGTTTATATATACATATATATAAACATATCAAAAAATAGTTGTATATAATGTATTGAAATTGTTTATAATAAATCAACATGTTATAATTTGTTATATTTGTTTTTTTTTTGAGTAATTATATTATTGCTAATTGAAAATCTTTATTTTTTTCAACAGCATATTTTTATTGAATTGCAAATATGTATTCATTACAATTTATTTTATGTTAGTAACGTTGTGTTTAATGAAACATGTTAATAATTTTTGCCATGATGGATAATATATAAGGAGAAGCATATATACACAAAATTATGAAATTAAGAACTATTGCTGTTACATAAGCAAATTTTTACTTACAAAACACAAAGTGTAATTTTTCACAAAGAGTAATTCTTCTGTTCATTAAAATTAATTCTTAAAAAATATGTTAAGAAATACACATAAAATAATAACATTGTAAATAACACACATTGAAATTTAATAAAAATATTTATATAATTACCGTATATAATATAATTGTTGAAATTGTACGAAAAATTTATATTTCTTGCAAAAAATTATGTGAAGATACGGTGTATCACATTTCTCCGTCCCACTTATCAGACTGCGGACTGGCAGACACTAAAAGTATGTCTGGTGTGGTTAAAAATGCATTACACACGCATCGAAATGCACGTCGATTGATGTACATGTGCGTAATTATTAATGTTTGTTGTTGTTTATTTTGTTTTTTTTTTGTTTATTGTATTTTGTTAACTATATTTTTACAATGATCATGTACAGATTATAACAGTTATCAGAATTTGTCCATAATTGTTCGTTAATGTATTAATATAGAATATTTACTTAATTGTTTCAACATAAAAAAATACATATAATTAGTCCACGGTATATAGAATTGTATAAGACGCAATGTCTTAAATTTTTCATGTATAAAAAAATTAGTTTTCTAATTTTTCTAAACATTTTCTAAAATTCTCTTCATTTTAATTTTCTATAACTTTCGAGATATTAACTTAGAAAAATCAAAACTGAAAAAAATTAGTTATATGCATATAAGTTTACAATATATGTACAATATAATACATGATTCACTTATTTTACGACGATTATTATCATGTAAACTAAATACATGTATATCGTTATACATGCATAGAAGATGCCGTCTTTTAAATTTTTTATGTCTTCCTAAAGAGAGAGATTATAATTTGCTAAATTACTAAATATTTTCTTATATATTTTTTTATTTTAATACAGTTTTTGAGATATTAACTATTAAATGAAACTATGATTAATTCTTTATTATCTTTGTAATCAAAAGTAATATTTTTTAAGAAAAATCCAAAAACTTAAGAAAACTTTAACATAATTATTTACGATATGTATAATATAATACACATGATTCAGACATTTTGTGATGAATTTATCATCGCAACTAAAGTGTCCATATTCAATGCTAAGCTTTGATTGGCAGGCCAATCCCAGATAATACGTTTCTCGAATGCCTCTTTAAAATCAGCTTCGGCTTCGGGTGGTCTATTATGTTGATTGTTTCGGATTTCGTATTCCGCTACTTTGGTAATCGGATTATAAACATAAAATTCATATGTTTTTTTACTAATATGACGCGACCAAGGCTGAGCGACGCTTCTTAAGAAAAGTACGCTGTTGTACGCGGAGTATATGGGCTCCTCATCATTTTCGCCGTCACGTTCCAATAGATTCTTTTGCGACTCGAACGCAATGGGCATTTTCACACGACGTTGCGCAACACGCAAGTTCTTCCCTATATCGAGATTCAGCATGAATCTCTCCTTGGCGCGCACACATACATAGTCATTTGGAACTGGTTTCCACAACGCGTCACAAAATATCATAGTTAATTTATACCTGCGATAGATATTGCATAAAAATATTAGCTATAATTAGTACAATGACAATTTATTCATAATAGAATTCCTCTTTATAGTAACTACATTCTATAAAACTTTTGTATTTATCTTTTCAAGTTTAAATCGATATAAATACCTACTCCAATTTAATTTATAAAGACTATAAACTTTGCAATATTGATAGATTTATACATAAGAATATGCTAGAGAAACTATAACATAATTTTAATTTGATTTGTATTCAATTTTTAAGTAACATATTAATATATTAACAGCTTAGAACATATTATTGACAGCTCAGAATTTTATATTATGTTTGATAAAATAAAATAAATTTCTTACCTATCATCTAGGTATCGTTTACTAACATCTTCTCCACCAAGCATGTAAGCATCCAAAATATGCAATGCACGTGTCTTGGAGAAGTATTTTCCCGTCCGTTTTGCTTCATATACTAATTCGGCGTATACAAGAGTATCAGGTGGAAGTTCTATCTTTACATCTCCAATCGTTTCCCATTTGCCTCCTTTCATGTAACGAAACACTTTTCTCCTTCCCAAACCCAAATAAAATGTTGCTACTTTATCCTCTTCGACACAGGAACCGGAACCACAGGGCATGCAGTACCAATTGTGTGGTTGATTCAATATACTTTTTACATTGTCGTTTTCCAATTTCTGTGCTTCGAAACCGAAGAAACATTCAGAGCCCCTTAAAATTTCCCATATCTTATCTTGTGGTCTAATGATTTGCGGTCTCACGCGAGTTTTATCAGGTATATTCCAATAATTCAGGCATTCCTTTCGCATATCCGCTTGTTTTGGCTCGGTCAGCATTGGATCCTCGCAGAAAGCCGCGATTTTTAAGAGGCCTATTATTTGTTTCTTTCCTAGAGCGTCATTAGAGTTTCTCAAATACGATACAAATGCCTTGTCCGCTTCTAACACGTCGAGCGGTACTAATTGAATTACATCATTCTTATCATCTTTTTTTAAAAGTGAATGATTAACATGAGAGAGATGGTGAACTACCGCTCGTGTATCGTCTTTTTTTGTTTTACATATTAAATAACGTTCCGAATTAGCTGGTCTAGAAGTATTGGGTTTGAAGATGCAAATATTTTCGAAACATCTATACATTAGATAAACAAGTCCAATGCTGAAAGGTGTGAACAAATCAAACAATGCTGTCACAAAGTGTCCACCTGGTCTCACTATCATTAATGCCACCAGACACTGACACAGATATAACTGCTTAGATAGAATCTCTTGGATGTTTTTTTGACCTTCCACAGAGAATCCTCCATCTGACATCATAAAATGCACACCTTTGCCATATGTATGTTTCATTATTAAAGATCTAAATTCTTCTTGATTTTGTGGGTCAAATACATCTCCATTGCCTTTAGAACCATAAAAAGGATGAAAGGTTTCAGACGGACCAGCAAAGAACTCATCCAATGTGAAGTCATTTTCGTTTTTCAAAGTGAATCCAAATCCTTTGGCATGCCATTTCTTTCTGGACAGAATATACTCGCTGAAACCGCCCGGACCGGCACACACGTCGGCAAAGTACAGTAATTTATTGGGATGTAAATCCTTTGGGTCAGTAAACATGAAATTACATGCTCTGTTGATATTCGCCATTTTGACAGCTGCACGATTCAGAAAATTAGCAGTGCGAATTGTTTCATAAGGGTTTGAACGAGTTCTTGCTTTGCGCATCTCAACCTTATCTAATTTATCAAATACAGTTTTTGACCTAATAATTTGCTCCAAAATCTGTGGATTGCAATACATGGTTTCGTCATCTAAGGTGAGTTTTTTTGGTCCTGTTTTTATCCAATCCACCATGTCCTCAGCTAGGAGCGTATGAGAATGCACATTTGGTAACCATTCGATATCTTCTATAGCTTTTATTTCTTCTTCTTCAGGATTCCATTTGAGACTCGCTTCTTTCAGACCTGGTATATAATGCCCAAATCCTCTTCGACCTCGTTGCGTAATTGCTTCTATTGGTTCTGTGCGACCTTGGTCATCTTTTCCAAGACCTTTTCCTGGTTTGTATCCCATTTTCTTCATCATATTTTGAGCTTTTGATGTATGAGATAGATTGTTCTTGCTTTCATAGATAAGCATATTGTTTGCTAACTCAATTTTTTGAGTATGTTTTTCGTTCTCTATACTATCAATTGCATCTCCACTGTTCAACTTTTTGCGTTTATTTCTATGTTTGCTCATGCTTTCATCATGATTGCTAACATTCATTTTGTATTCATAGTTTGATGAGTTACCATATTGTTGATCGTTATTATCATCAGAGGAGGAAGAAGAAGAGTGTCTAGATCTTTTTTTAGGATTTAAATAATTATCATCGTTATCAAAAGCAGACATTCTGTTGCCTATGTCAGAGTAATGGGGATCACTTGGATCATCTGGAGAATAATTATTAAACAGATCCACTGTTCTCAGTTTCATATCCTCATTACTCAAAACGCTATCTTCGTCCGTGCCTAGAAAAATGACAAATTAATTCAATTTATAGATTTTGTAAATTTGGATCTAAATATATGTATATGAAAAAGAAAAAAAGAAACGTACAAACAGATGGAAGATACTTACTACTAGCCATGTTTTCTATTGATGTCAATTCCGTTAACGTAAATAAATTTTCTAACCTATATCAATCGACAGTTCATCAACTAGCATTGACATAAGTTAGAGTTATATTAAACTTGAGCTATATACCATCCTGGAACGATTATTAAAGAACAATTAATATAGAAATTATATATCCGTTTCTGCTAAATTTTAGAACATTGTACGCACATACAGAATACAGCTAATATTAAAGAGACGGTGGGACATAGCACAAATACTAACACAACAGTTAAATTAAGCACAGGCTAAGGGTGGTTCGAAAACCTAACCTGTAGAAGTAATATTGAATTGACCAATCAGGACAAAGAAATTTTTGTTCCTTTTGAATTTGATTGGTCAATTAAACGCTACTTTACTTCATGGGTAAGATTTTCATAACCTGCTCTAACGAGATATCAAAATTAACTTTTTTTAATCTATAGCATTTCTCACTTTAAATAAAGTTATATTTATAAAAATTTGGATGTACTGATTAACAAACAAAAAATTTTTAGAGAATCTTTATTATTAATTTTTATTATAAAATTCTAGATATTTTTTATTTTTATCAAGAAAAATCATATACATACACACATATACATAGGAGTATTATAAAAATAATATATGCATATGTATTATTTCATGTGTAGCACTAAATATTTTGATATTCACAGATAATTATTAGATATAAACTCGACATTATAAAAAGACAAATTTAATTAGTGAAAATAGTAAGTAATTGAATCGATATCGAGTTATGCTATATATCCTACATGATTTACGCGAGACCAGCTCTTTATACACATACCCAAATACATAAATGCAACATTGATGCTAAAATATTGATGATGCAACGTTGTGTGAGAGAATAGGGGGAGGGGAAGGAATGCAAATTATATTAATATATAATACATCACATTTGGGGCTAATGGTTATCTCAGCAATATGTATTAAAGAAGATAAAACACTGGAGCAACATGATGTAGTGAGGAGAGATGCATGATCGGGACAACTGGATTACTCCTCCAAGTCCAGGTCCCCCAATTCTTCTTCTAAACCCTCTAAATCTTCTTCCATGAAAAGATTTTCGTTAATAGCTACCGCCGCGGCACCCTCTTCCACAGTCACTAGAATAGAAATTTTTGTATTGATCATCCAGCAATATATTATTATAATTAATACATTCATTGTCTGCGTTTTGTGTGCAAGATTAAAAATTTCTTGTATGTTTAAAAAAGCAATAATTGATGGATAACAATGATAATAATAATTGTATGATAATAATTTATGAGCTTCTAAAACTGTATTATCCTGATTTATATATAATTCACAAATGCTTCTGAAATATATGCTTTGAAATATTATTCTAGCACATTATAAATATTTATAATTAATATCAAGTGATATAATTATGACCTGTAATATCCTTATTGTTATCAGCAATACTGTTGACCTTTAACCGATCTATAGTAGCCACAGTGATACCATTAGTGTCGATTTCGCTAGCTTCAAAAGCGAGGCGTTCCGTATCGAGTTCTCTATATTGTACATCTTCGAAATCATCTTCGTCTTCGCGAACATAACTAGATATTGCTTCATCTCCTTCATCAATACCTAAAACGATTTAAATAATGAATTAAAATAATTGTAGGAAGAAGCAAGCTATAGCTCTCAAACAATATCTTACCATCTCCTGTTGCAAGATCTGGATTAAAGAAGAACATTTCTCTTCCTGATATGCCGATTTGGCGACCAGCCTTATAATCGTTTCTCTTCTTCTCTTCATCTTTGATGGCCTGCTCTTCTTTTTCTTTCAATTTTCTCTTTTTCCAAGCCAAAAATGTTTCCAATGTTATCTTGGTCTGTTGAAATTTTTCATTACATAGAGATATAATCAGAATATTGTCCTATGTAAAATTTAATTTTGTATTAATTCCTTATATATTTAATGCAATATTCATACCTGATGAGGTCCCAAATTGGCCCTTTCTCTTTCTATTAGATCTTCCAAAGAGATTTCATCTTTCTTGTCTTCTTTCTTTTTATCTTTCTTTAAAACAAATCCAGGAGGTAAAGCATGCCTATAAATACACTTTTGACCAGATGGACACTCCCAAAACCAACCATATTTTGCCTTTTCTACTGCTTCCAAGAAGTATTTGCAGATCTAACGAGAAAAAGCATTTTATTTCATATTATTCTTTCTTGAGCAGAATTTTGAATTATTTTCTATTGATTTTTCAAAAATGCTAGTTAATTATTTACATAACTTACAATGTCGGTAGTAGGACGATTGCCACCACCATGTTTCTTCTCTACAACTTCTTTCAGCTTATCTTCATCCCATTTATCCATTGTATCATCTTCCTTATCATCATCTCTCATATCACAATACAATGAACGTTTTTCAGCTTTTCGTTCAATGCTCAAATCATGAGAGAATTTACATTTATCCCCCTTTGTACATTGTCCTTGTTTGAAAAATGCACACACAACAGACTTGGGATCTATGCCTGCAAATGTTGTTTTATCGTAGTGTCTGTTTTTTTTTATTCGAAAAATATATCTATCTCATAGTATTTCATAACTTCTTACTTCATCACCAGGTATAGGTAAGGTATATACTCAGTACCTTTATCTATCTTTTGTGTTTGAACTGGTTTAAAAATAAGTGCCAATTCTTTTTGCTCTTTTAACTTTTTTTCTTTTTCCAATTTTTTGGTCGTAGGATCCTCGATCTTGCGCGGATTTACGCCGCCCGATTTCACTTGTTTTTCAACTTGCTGAATAAATTTTTGCTGCTTGGCACCCTTTTTGTTTTTTATGCCAAATGTCTTGTCCTTAAAAAAAAATGAAAAAAAATCTAAGTTTTAGTAAAAGCATATTTCATACATATTAATAAAAAATAAAACATAAATTATAATCACAGTTCCAGATGTTATTAAGAAACATGTGGAAATCTAAAGTTTTTTGGTTAGAGATTGGAAATTCATGATCGCTTCTTACCTCAATAACCTTTTCCTTTTTTTTTTGATCCGCTTTTTTGCTCGGCGCCGGTGCCTTTTTCGGTGGCATTTTGTGAAAAATTCGAGTTTTTCTTTGTCAATAGAAAAACACCTAAAATTCTAAGAGAAATCATGAAAGCTCCATCTTATTCTCAAATATTTTCCTACATATCCTTGGTAGTGGGAGATCTTTTTTTCACGCATGCGCCATCACTCTTGTATAATGTGTAGATACATAGCTAATCATTTTTTATTTATATTAATAAAAAATGTAGATATTACTTAATAAATCAATCGGAGTTTGATCGAAGTGATTCCTAAATTCGCGCAAAGTGTTTTATTATACAAACTAATAATACAAATCTCCAGTTATTTCTTCTTCAAGCGCGCATGTCACTAAACAAGATGGTAACTTTTGCTCAACAAAATTTCCTAGTCATTCGTTTGGCAAGCCAATTGAAAGTTCTCTTCTAATAATTTTTGAAAGTTGCAATCTTGCGATAACTTACGCTCACAAATCGTTGCAAACTTCAAGACTTCAAGCTGTCTCAAACCTTAAAGTCGTCGCTGTAAATGCTTCTTCGTGTCTCATCGTTCACAACGTAAGCAGCGTGACGGAAACGCGATGGCGAAATTTGATTTAACGTCTCGTATAGGTCAATATCTGGATCGTCACTTGGTATTTCCTCTGCTGGAATTCTTATCGGCGAAACAGGTACGATGCGAAAACTAGACTTTGCAATGTGGTATGATGTTTTGGTTATGTCACATGTGGTACGTTGCAGATTTACGACGAAGATGAGTTGTTGCAAGCAAAACTCAATATTCTCAGTAAAACAAATATGATTGACTACACTATCGATATTAGGAAACAGCTTTATCCAAACGTGGAAGTACCGGAGGTACGTTTTATTGCGTTATATGTATGTCATTAAACAGTTGCAGATTGTGCAACTATGGGTATTTTCCAGCAAAGTACACAGATGACACAATGTAACACACAGTATCACACGATTGGCTATCAAATACAGAATTTTAAATTTCTTCATCTGACAGCTAATCACGTGGTATTGTGTGTTACACTGTGTCATCTGTGTACCTTGTTGGAAAACACCCTATGTATGCATATTGTATAACAGTCGTAAGTTGGAGTAATGTGTCTATTGCAGGAGATAAAAGCCAGACGTGCTGATGTACTTCAAGAGCTCAGTATACTTCAGAATAATGTCTCGGTGGTTTTAGCTCTTATGAATAACGAGGAAGTTATGAAGAAGATGGAGAATATGCGTGATTCTAAAGCACTTAATAATTACCTCACACAAGAATCAGATGTAGGTAGAATACATTTATTAAATAATAAAAAGAGATTAGATCTAATATATATAAATTAAAATATATGATAAAATATTGTGATCAAAAAAATTTACTTTACTGATTTTATGATCTAATTCTATTTTTTCATTTTGTAGTTTAGGGTAGAAATGATGGATAGCTTTGTAAAGCTAGCAAAATATCGCTATGAATGTGGCAATTATTCTGTCTCCACATCGTATTTATACTTTTATATGCTGATAATGCCCCCTACTGATAAGGTATTTATTAGGTCTTTATAAGTTTTTCATAAGTATATTTTATATAATATGCTATATACACTAAAAAAAAATATGTATTTAATTTCTAGAATTACTTGAATGTCTTGTGGGGAAAATTGGCATCAGAGATTCTTGTACAAAATTGGGAAACAGCACTGGAGGATGTAAACAAGTTACGAGAATATATTGACAGTAATGTTATTGGTAATTCACTGCAAGTATTACAACAACGCACATGGCTCATTCACTGGAGTCTGTTCGTATTCTTCAATCATGTGAAGGGCAGAGATCTTATTATCGAGATGTTTCTCTATCGGCCACAGTATGTATAATGTAAAAAAAAGAGATGTGTAATGATACTTTTAATGAAATTTGGCTTATGAAAGAAGCTAAGAAATGCTTAAAATATTTTGTTACAGTTATTTAAATGCTATTCAAACAATGTGCCCACATATACTCCGTTACTTGGCTGCTGCAGTTATTGTCAATCGTTCCCGGCGATCTATTTTAAAGGATCTTGTAAAAGTGATACAGCAGGTTGAAATCAAAATCTCTCTTCTCAAAATCATATTTATTTATATAGAGTATATATAAAAACTTTTTACTTATTATCTGTGATCAAATTTCTTTTGGCCATAGATAGTGAATCCTAATTAAGCAAATTTTATGAGAAAAAAGAAAAAATTTAATTAAATTTTTGCTAAGAAAAAATGAGATTCCAAATTTGTGAAATTTATAACTACAAGAAACTACATGACTTTTGATACTTTGGCTGTGTTTCAAAATTCACTGCTGGTATTGGAAATCTATAGTTCACGTAACATATATTATAGATTTCCAGTACTGGCAGTTAATTTTGGAACATAGCCTTTATATATTAATGAAATACTCTATATACAGATAAGGAAAGGTATTTAATATTTAACTAAAATTTTTATTTTTACATTTATAGGAATCTTATACCTATCGAGATCCCATCACAGAATTTCTTGAGCATTTGTATGTTAATTTCGACTTTGATGGCGCCCGGCAGAAATTACAAGAATGCCAAACTGTTGTCTTTAACGACTTCTTTTTAATTGCTTTATTGAATGAATTTGTAGAAAATGCACGATTAATGATTTTCGAAACATTCTGCAGAATTCATCAATGTATTAGTATCCAGTATGTAATCTTCCTAAATTTTTGCATTATTATAAGTGTAAAACATATAATTAATTATTTCTATTAATATGTATCAATTAATCTTATTTTTTATTTAATTTATAGAATGCTTGCGGAAAAGTTGAATATGAAGGCAGATGTAGCAGAATGCTGGATTGTGAACTTAATCCGTAACGCACGTTTAGATGCTAAGATTGATAGCAAATTGGGACACGTAGTAATGGGCGGGCAGCCCGCGTCACCGTATCAACAATTGGTCGAGAAGATTGAGACTTTGAGTGTGCGAAGCGAGGCACTAGAAAATTTAATTGAGAGAAAACTAAAAGCGAAGAATCAAGACTCAGTAAGTATAGTGTGGAACTAACAGAGGTCAGTATCATTCATAATCATATTACGCGCGATCATATTCACTTAATGCATAACTTGTTGATAAACATAAAACTTGTTGATAAACATAAAACAAAAAGATTTATACATCTGGATTATAGATATGTTCTAATACACGAACATATTAACTCAATGCTTCAAACATAATTCATTTAATTGTAAAGTCTTATTTGACTCTTGTACTAATACATTATTTCAAGGCATGTGTGTGTATGTGTGTATTTATTTGTATTGTTTTCGTAAATGCAAGTTATACGTTAAACAATTATCTTTTTATACCTTTGTCAATTATATTAAAGAATATTTTCATTATATATTTATATATATATCGTTTTTGCTGTATATAATTTATTATAAAAATTTGATATTCTGAAATGTGTTCTCCTTGCATTTGTACGAATTTTCAAACGATTTATTTTTATTTTAGTATCAACACTCATGGAATTTGGATTTGTGACAACCTGATACAACGTGAAGAAGCAATATCCGAAAGAAGTATTCCAATTTCAACTATAGCAGTAATATATGACTTGCAATATAATTTGTTTTTCTAAAAAAATGACATGAATGATGTAAGCATTTTCATTTGCTGCTGTGTTGTTAATTTGGAATTTTCAATCCACATTGTATAACAAATAATAAAAAATATGCAACATTTTATATAAGAGAAAATATCAAATTTATGTACTGTATACAATGTCCATATCTCCATCAATTGCACTCTTTTAGCTTAAGACTAGAAATTATTTTTTATGTCTTATATTTGTAATATTCTATACTAACACAAAATTCTGAAAAATAAAAAAAATTGGATATTTTATTCAAGAATTTATAAAAGTCTATAGTTTCCATTTATTATATCCATTTAAATATCAATGATTTTATCTTATGCAAAGTTCATAATTTGTTAATCATTATGTTATTTATATTGTAAACATATTACATAAAACATGTATATAATTATAATTTTATATATAATTATATAATATAATATTTAATTGTATGTTACGATATATTATTGAAGATTTGTTATATATGAAGGTAAAAAATTACATCCTGTATATGCACCATGATCGATACAATATATCAAAATATTTCTCCAATATGGATCCGAGGCGAGTAATTTTGGATTTCCCAAGATAATAAGCAAAGCACGAGCACGAGTAATCGCGACATTAAGTCTTTTCGGTGAAGCGATGAATCCTAAAGCATGCTTAATGTCCTCGTTAACTAAATCATTGCATGATCTGACAGTTGATAGAATAATTACTTTTCTTTCTTGGCCTTGAAATCCTTCCACACTGCTAATTTTTGGTAATTTAAGCTCTGACTCCAATAATAGGTCTCTAATTTGCAGTACCTTAATTGGGATAAAATTTTTTTTTTAATACAAGAAAAGAGGTATTGGCGATTTTTATAATAAGTGATAGAGAATTGTTCTGAAATATCTGTTTACCTGCTTCTGATAAGGAGTTATAATTCCTATATCATCTGATTCAAGCCCATATTTATATAGCTTCAATAAATAGAGGTAGACTTGTGTTGCTTCTTCGAGATTGTACCAACTTGGACTCTCAGTATCTCGATAGTTTTCACCATTGACTCCATGGAAAACTATGGCCGGTGGCAATGATCCGTCTCTCTCAGGTAGTTCCGGCCTCAACATTTTCAATAGTTCAGCTTCTTTACTATTCTCAGATGATATCTAAATAATTAAATGAATTGTACTTATTATAATGAAAGACATAGTTTAAAATAATAATCTGCACATACTTGTGATTGTAATTCCGATTCGTAAAACAACGAGTTTGGTAGATCTAATATCTCCGGTAAACTTCGATAGTTCATAACGAGTTTCGTGACCAGTCTAGGATCGTAACAGAATTCCTCGAATCCTTCTGGATCTCTCTGATAAGGAAACTGCTGCAATAATCTCGATAGGAATGATTCGCCTAATCCAAAATATGATGCTAGTTTGCTCTGCACTACAGGCCCAAGTTGCATCGGGTCGCCCGCAAGGATCACCTGGCCGTGCTCGGAATGAATGAAATTCAGGGGAATCATGATTTCCGGTTCGGTCGCTTGACCCGCCTCGTCGACTAGAACGTGCGAGAAATGTCCACGGGGAAAACCCATGTTATACAATATTCCCAGCGTACTGCAGGTGCCGACAGTAATTCTATGACGACCCAGTACCGACATGGTACAATTCAGTTTCGGTCCATCCTCGCGATGACAAAAACGATTGGACGTACCCTCTGCGGCTAATTCCGCCGTAGCGCAATAAGGTAACAGTCTTTCAGGAATAGAATCGTCATTCAAGCAATGATGAGCTATCAGTCGAACCTACGGCACGTGTATACAATGAGTACAAATATAATAAAGAATAAAATATTTAACGATTTATATGACCTGATCTGATTTTCTCTTTGTGTCTCGAATTTCTATTTTCAATCGATATCAAAGACTTAATAATTTCGCAAATAAAAATTTAATTATTGAGAAAATAAATATATAATTAGCAGGATCTAAAAATCACATCAGATCATATTAAGCATTAAATTATAAAAGGATTCACACAAAAAGAAGCAGTACCATATCACCAGGCTTGAGTATGTTGCTGTCCAACAGGCGTTCTGCGATTAAGTTTGCCGAACTGTTTGATGGGGTTGCTACAAGAAGTCTACTTTCAGGTATTACAGCCAGAATTTGTAAAATCGTTTCGCATAATGTCACTGTTTTTCCTGTTCCAGGCGGGCCAAATATCACATAGGGTAACGGACGCGCAAATCCCTGTATTATATTCCTCACAGCTTCTTTTTGATAATAATTCAATTTTTCATTGAACCAATTTAATTTCCGTTTTTTTATTTGAGAAATATATGGTTCTATCTCATTATCAACGCCCGCGAGTGTTTTATCCGGTTTCCTTGAAGCTATAGCATTAGCAATGTTAGTTTTACTATCATTGGTATTCCTTGATGAATTTGTTTTAAAATTCTGATTTGTTTCTATTCTTGGACTCGATGTTTGTGTTTCTTCGAGTGATGATGATTCAATGGACTTATTATTGAAAAGTCTTTCTGCTACTGACATTCTTGAAGACATTTTGATTATATTATCGGAGTCTATGTCATTGACAGAAGTGATGCTGTTGAAGGACACAGATTCGTTGTGTTTGTGACGAACTCGCATGCGACTGGGTTTCTCCTCGATGTCATATTCTTCCAAATGAAACTGTGGCTCTTTTTGCATTACTTTGGAAGGAAACAAAAAATCAGATCCAAGACGATTAAGAGCTAAATTAACAGCGTTGTGACAACGTTGGGTAGTGGTCTGCGAGCATTTAAATGTCACCTGACAATCTTCTCTATTGTACTCTTGATGAAACTTTTCATTAAATTTCAAGAAAATCTCGGTGCCTGTGACTTTGTGAATAAAACCCTCATATTTTAGCTCCCCTATAAAGAAAAAATAAAAGGATAAGTATTAGTATATATATCTTACAATATGTCAAAAATAATTTTACAATTACTTTTTGTATGTCTTGATGATATATGTATAATCTAGCATGCTACTGTTTATAGATTACTCTTATCCATATAATTAAGTCGATATAAAGAAGTAGATTTGTTAAGCCTTTTAAATATATTACCTTGAGAGCTATCCCATTTGAAAGATACTACAGCTCTATCACCCATAATAAGAGAAGGTCGTTTTTCCGCTAATCCTGGCACTTCGAGTGCAAGATAATCTCCGTGTCGTCGCATGACTGCGCTTTCCATACTGTATCGTTGCAAATCGAGCGTTTGGCTTATTTGCTCGAGATACAATAAGGCATGGAAACGTTCCTTATACGTTTCGAAGGATAGTGGTTTCAAAAGACAAGATATTTGATTTCCAATAGCGACTTCCTGTTCAACCTGAGATTTCTCCATGTTATTCAAAACCGCGTTCCAAATATATCGCGGTACTTTGAATAGTCCGCTACGCACTTGAATAAATGCAGGTGATTTAAACAGCCTTACACCGGGGATACATGTAGTCTCATTTAACTCATCCAAATTAGCTATGTTAATCTTATGGCTATATTTTTGTTTAATAGACCCGGAATCAATCTTTTGCGAAGTGATTTTCGCATTGACGGTTATATGAAATATTCTACCGATTTTGAAATCTTTGAAATTAAAGATAAATATCTCTTCAGATACGCCGACAAATTGTGCTTTACATTTGAATTTATATGTAACATTTGTAGAAGGATTTATTACTGTATTAATATCTGTATTGGTTGGCGATTCTAATGTCAGCTGAGATGCAGTCTTTTGTGACATAAAAGAGCCACCTTGCAACATGTGAGTATAACTGCCATTATTTCGTATAGAAACTATCAAGATGCTTTCTTCTTCTATATTCAAATTGAATTTCAAATTATCATCTATGATAATACCATATTTGTTTTTTAGCAAGGCATTAGTATCTGATAATATTGAAGAAAAATTAGTTGTGACTGGTAATTCAATGGATTTTTTTGAAGGCTGAAAAAAAAAGGAAAATATAAGATAAAAATATTTAGAAATTTATATTATATATAAATATATATGTATATAATATAAATATATAT